CCTGCACACACAGCTTGCTCACAGCACTGCGGCCAAGCCTGGCGAGGCTCCTGCCCTTCTCCCCTGTTCTCCAGAGAGCTGCCATCGCCCCAGCCATCATCTGCCATGTCAAGAAAGGAAGGGTAGGAAATGGTGCCATTTGATACGTATTTTTAAGATTCTCTTAAACCAACAACTGTGAGCAGAAGTCTGTTCATTGGCTGGTGTCACATATTTGCCACCTGTGTTGGGGATTAAGTTCTCGAAAGGCGACTCATAGCAGATAAAATCCATCTCATGCAACGTCATGTCACATATGAGGCAGATTAAGGAGGAAGAAGGAGCTGGTGACTGATGTAGGAGGGCTTCTTTGAGAAGGAGCAGGGTTGTGAGCTAAGTGACGGGTGCTGTGCTGTGTGCAGTGGAGAAGCATTTCAGAGGGCTCGGCTGCAGAGCAAAGGCACTGTGGTGAGGGCAGGGAGAGAATGGATTAAGACACAGGGCCCAAGAGGGGCCTGGCTCTGCTTGTTCAGTCGCTGATAGGACAAATCCATGGGGACTTTATTCTAGTGGGAATGGGGGTGGGGACTGTGTTCCGACTTGGTTGTGTTTATTTGACTCATGCCTTTGTTTTTTAAAATTATTTTATTATTTTTATTTTCCATGTGTGAGTGTATTGTCTGCATGTATGTAAATGCACCCGTGTCATGCAATGCCTACAAAGGTCAGGAGAGGGCATCTGATCCCCTGGAACTAGAGTTATGGATGGTTGCTAGCTACCATGTGGGTGCTGGGAATCGAACCTGAGTCCTCTACAAGAGCAGTCAATGCTCTTAACCACTGAGCCATCTCTCCAGCCCTCATACCTTTGTTTTTAACTGATGAGAAATGTTATTTGACCCAGGAAGTTGTCAGAGTCATCATGTTACAGGTTCAAAAAGCGTGTAAAACCATCATCAATGGAGCATTTGCTGAGGGCATTTCTTCTTTACATCAGCCACAGGTCACAGTGGATTTTAATAACCATTTGCACCTTATAAAATACACTCACTGTTAAAAATACATAGGAAATACATAGAAGAAATATTTAAAACCATCTACCTAATGTGTGTTAGTGATTTGACAATAAAGTCTGATTTTGAAATAACTTTGTATTTGTGGAGAGGTCACAAGCACGGGGCAGCATGGGTTGCTGTGCATGGTGGCTCCTCCCCAACCACGCTGGTCTGCTGTCAGCTTCCAGCACCTGGCCCAGGGCCAGCACAGGTGCCTGGGTCTATGGAGATGCCCAGTCTGCCAATTGATGCCATCCTTCCATCTCTGCCCTGTGCTGGCTGACCTGTTTTTCCTCTTCCCTTTATGGGTGGCCTGGCTCCTTCCCATCTCTCTGTCCACACAGAGCTGCACGGGAAGCCTCCAGATTGCAACTAGATCCATCTTCCCTGGTTGGAAGCTGGCTTCTCAGTGAAAGGCCAGTCTCATAAGTGGCCAGCCACAGCCAGAGCCAGAGCGTGTCCTGAGGACCCCATGGTCCTCATTCTCTGGGCCTTGCTACAGCACCAGTTTCCTCCTGCCTGCCTGGCTTCTTTCCGTACTGTGTGCAGGAAGATCACCTTCCCCAGTGAGTCCCGCTTGCTGCTGTGCATGAAGTGGAGTTTGGGTTCCCAGCTGACTCCCTCTGGCCTTCCCACCCTGCAGTGGCTCTGGTGGGTGTCACCTGCTTGCCCTGGGCTTGGTACTTGGCTCATGGGTTTGCAGAGTTCCCTGTGAACCAGCCGTTGCTACACTGTGCCCCCTCTTCCAGGTGCCCCTCTGGGATCTATGGGGCTAGTTGTCACCAGTTCAACTGCTTGCTCTTGGCAGTTGTTGATTTCTAGAAAATCTGCCCAAGGGCATCATAGCAGGGTCTCACTGTGCAGGGCTGTGTTGTCCTCAGAGAGCTCTGCTGAGGGCTATGTGTGGTGGTGGTATGTACTTTAATCTCAGCACTCAAGAGGCAGAGGCAAGTGAATCTCTGTGATTCAAGTCCAGCCAGGGCTACACAGTGAGGCCCTGTCTCAAATAAACAAACAAACAAGAGAGAAATGTGTGTTACCGGGAGCAAAGCTGGAGGAGTTGAGATATCTAAGCCCTTTGTGACTAGACATTGGACATGGAGCTACAGGAGTTGGTGTTTTCCCTACTGATTTTCTGTCGTGCTTTGGTCCAGTATTTCCTCAGTTGGCCTCTGTTTCTCCCTTTAAAGTGGGGTGTGTTCTGTGCATCTTGTTAGAAGTATGTAATCTTAAAAAATATCATTTTATTTTTGTGTGTATGAGTGTCTTGCCTGCATTGGGTGTAAGTGTACCCAGGTCGTGCAGTGCCTGCAGAGGTCAGAAGAGGGCATCAGATTCCCCTAGAACTAGAGTTACTGACAGTTGTTAGCCGCCATGTGGGTGCTGGGATTCAAACCTGGGTCCTCTGCGAGGACCACTAAGCCACTCTCCAGCCCTGGAAGTATATAACTTGCTTTTTGATTTTGCAAGGGCTCACAGTTAAGAGACTGCCTTGACTCACAGAAAAGACTTTGGACTCTGGACTTCTGAATAGTGTTAAGACTGTTAAAGACTATGGGGACTTTCAAGGTTGGACTAAATGCACTTGCATTATGATATGACCATGAGCCTGTGCGGGGACAGGGAGTGGAATGCAGTGGTTTGAATGAGTCCCCCATGAGCTCTGAGTATCTGAATACTTGGTCTGCAGTTGGTGACACTGTAGAGGTTTAGGGGTGTGACCTTGCTGGAGGAAGCACATCAGTGGGGGCGGGCTTGGAGAGTTCAGAGCCACAGCCCATTTCTAATCGCCTTGTCTCCACTTCCTGCACCTGCTTGAAGACGTGAGCTCAAGCGTGTTCTCAGCTGAGCTCAAGCGTGTTCTCAGCTGTCTTCTCCGGGTGGCTCCCGCCGTGCCTCCCTGCACTGATACACTTTTACCCCTCTGGAACGGTAAGCCCGATAAACCCTTCTATATGTTGTCCTGGTCATGGTGTTTATTTCAGCAGCAGAAAAGTGGCTAATAGACCTCGCTTTGAACAGCCTGTGTCTTCATGAGATTTAATGAGATTCCATCCAAGATAGTTATCTTTTTTGTAAATTTTTTGTTGAATTTTCGTGTATTTCATACAGAACATCTTAATCATCTTTATACCCCCTTCCCCACTGGCACCCTCCCATAGGCCCCCCCACTGGATTTCATGCATCCTGTCATTTGTGTTAAGTCCTCTTGAGTCAAGTTAGTGTCCCTAGATGTCCCTCAGTGCAAGTGCATCCACCGAGGTCTAGTCAGCCTATCTGGAATCCTCCCTTTAAGAAGATCAGCTCTTCCTCACCCAGCAGTAATCAGCTGACAATGGTTCTTCAGCTAAGATTGGGAACTGCTGCCCATTTCCCCAGTTCTGTGCTGGGTTCTTGTCTGCTTGAGTTTGTATGGGTCTTTTGCAAGCTGACACCGTTGCTGTAAGTTCTTATGAGCAAGGTCCCAAGATCCTGTAAGACTTTTATTTCCAAATGGTCATGCACCTCCTCTCCTGGCTCTTACAATCTTTCTGCCCCCTCTTCCGCAATGGTTCCTGAGCCCTGGGTGAGTGGAGTTTAATACAGAGTCCTGACCAACAACCCACACTCTGCAGACTCTTATTCTCTATGCTTTGGCCATTTGTGTCCTTTTCTGTTCCTGGCCTTCTGTTGTGTGATGGAGCTTCATTGATGAGAGCTGAGAGATGTGTTAGTGTTCTCTCTACCCCTTGTTCCACTATGTTCCCTGAGCCTTAGGTGTAGAGGTTGCACTGTAGATGTGTCACTTAGGGTTGGGTAATTCACAGACAATCTCTGTGTGTGACCAGTTGTGGAACTCTGTAATAACAAGATGGGAAGTTGCTTTTTGTTTTTTATCTCAGAGAGAATTGCTCCACAATCGGGGACATGGGTTTTTCTCTTTCTGCATCACTGTGAAAAGATCCCCAAGAAAGCCAACATAGGATTTGTTGTGACTCTAGTTTCAGAAGCCTCAGCTCCAGTTCAGCTGGTTCCAGTGATTCTGGGTGTGTGGTAAGACCAAGCATTGTGTTGGGAGTGTGGCAGAATAGAGCTGCTCACCTCACTGGGACCAGGAAGCAGAGAGAGAGAGGCCAGGGATGAGAAAACCTTCCAGGGTCTGGCCTAGTGATGTCCTTCCTCAAACCAAGACCCTCCTCTTAGTGTCCACCAACTCCTGGTAATGCTGCGAAATTATGACTCCGTCCATGGACGAGGTCAGAGCTTTGAGCTACTGTGGTCAACTGCCCTTAGCATATGAATCCTTTGGGATCTCTTCAGTCTCCCAGTAGTAATGGGAGGCAGCTGGTAACTCAGTTCAGCAAACATGCCACATGACCTTTTAGGTAGGTGGCACTTGTGCCTTCAGGAGACTGCCAGCTTTCTGCCTCAACAGGTCTGGAGCCAAAAACAAGGAGCCTCCAGGGAGGCAGGAGGTTGTGACAGTCACTCTCAAAGAATGGGCAAGATTCTGATGCTGGATAAGATTTGGGGGAAGATCACGTGACAAGACGGAAGCCAGGAGCATTTGTAAAAATGTTGGGCTGATGGGATCTGTCCTGGGGATGAAACCCTGGGCCTGGCATAGCCTAAGTAAGTGATCTACCCCTGTGCTGTTCCCCCACCCAGCAAGGTGCATGTGGCCCTCCCATTTGGGCAAAGCCCACTCAGTTTTAGATACTGTTAGATATTCTCAGCAGAAATTAGGGATGTTGTGATTTGGGGGCTTTAAAGGGGAGTGAATACTGGTTGGGTGACCTGGGTTATTTTGGGGAAAGTGGCTATATTTGGTGGTAAAAGGAGCATGTATTTAAATTTCAACAGTGATGGGAAAGCTTTGGACTGTATCTGGTGGGTTGAACAGCTGATGCCTCCATCGGGCTTTGTAAGTGACCAGACACTTCTATACACGCTTTCTTACTTGACTTAAAAATTCTTTCTCTCTAGGTCTTTGGCAAAATGGCTGAGACCTGCAAAATGGAATACACAGTGATAGACAGCCCGCTGGGGAAGATCGAGCTGTCCGGCTGTGAGCTAGGCCTGCATCGGATAAGGCTCCCCAGCAGGAAGACCCCTGGCACTGAGTAAGTGTGACTGCTAGGCACGGGCACCGTGCACGTGGTATGTGTTAAAGGCAACAGGAGGGAGAGTGAGCTCTGGGTCTTTTCCACTGTGGCAACATGGAGCCTGACACCACCAACGGCAGTGATTAGTGTCTCTGGAAACTGTGGGTTGTGCTGTTCTCGGTGGCTCTTGTGTTGGCCGGGAGTCCTGTGCTGCCAGTAAACCCTAGGGACACAACTTTGATGGGAGTTCCAAACATTTGATTTATGTATACGTTTGCAGAGGTGTCAAATTATATGAGCACTGAGTGTTGTGTGTGTGCCCATGGGTGTGTGTTGGGGTTGTTCAGGTGGATATCAGAGGGAAACTTGGGTACGCTCTACCTTGTCTCTTGACACAGTTTCTCTCTGGCCTAGAATTCATCCATTTGGCTAGATTAGTCAGCCAGCTAGCAGAGAGATTGGACTCTCTGTTTTCCCAGCACCAGAGTTGCAGGAAGGCACTGAAGTGCCCGTTTTCATGTGTGGGGGTTCTGGGGATTGAACCCAGGTCCTCGTGTTTGCAAGGCAAGCACTTTTCCAAGCTATCTACCTCATCTGTATGAGTCTGCTGATTCTCACACACGTGTTGTAGGGATGGCTTACTGTGGAAATCATGTGACTCACCTTGGTGGTTTTAGATTGTGCTGGGCATTCTGTTTGACAGGGCCTGGCAGGTGGTTCTCCCATGCTCTGTCAGGCACTCTGTTGCTTTGGAGAGGCAGTGCCAGGCTCGGGGTGAGCACTGCTGAGATGAGGAGAGTGTCCCTCCATGGGCTGACCTCTGAGGACAGAGCCTCCAAGGTCCTCAGAGAACGTGTGGTCCTCTTTGCATGGCCTTAAACATATTTTTCTAATTGCAAACTATGAAAAATTGAAAGCACCCTATACTGCTTCGTTCTGAAATGTAACATTTAACGTCCAACTCTCGCTTATCGTGAGCGGCGGCACTGAAGCTGCATCCTTGTTATTTCTGACAGAACTGAAAAACAGAAAAGAAAAAAGAAAAAGCACGCACTCCCGTGCTGGGTGTTTGTCTTAACTGGCTAATAAACACAATGCCAAGAACATTAGATAAAGAAAATACATAAGAAACGTAAAAATTGATTTTAATGGACCCCTGTCAGAGACAGCCATAATGAGCAGGCTGCAGTAATAAATAGCAGCCGGGCCCTCCCCGGCCAGCTTCTGCTGGAGAACCCAGTGCTGCAATCAATATCATCTTTAAGACTGAAGAATAAGCAAACCTTTGAACTGTGGGAGCACTCTCAGGTTCTCTGAGAACCATCTGGCTGTGGTGCTCAGAAAATCACAGGCACCAAATAATTTGTAGGGGAGAATGTCATTTTGTTTCTTACTGTGTTCAGTTGCACAATAAATCATAGGAATTATGTGTTGCCTTTTCCCCCCTTTGGGGAAAACAGTAAAGTCACACCTTCTAGCAAATATGGGGAAGAAAATGCAAAAAGCAGACGTTCTAAGATATATTTGTTTAAGCGCCCCTTATGGAGGGTGTGAACAGAGTCAAGTGAAATTAGGGCGGGAGTGGACTACAAACAGCCACAGAGCGCTGTGAAGATGGTGCAGCCGGCTTCCCTCCTGCCAGGGCGCCTGCGTGTGGACAGTGAGGCTGCTGGTTGGGGGTTTCTGGGGTTCCACCGTCTCCCAGCTGTCCTCTCAGGTTTCCACTGAGGCCCCGCGAAGGCTGCAGGAGAACTCAGACAAGGGGAAGTGGAGGGAGTGGCTCCCTTCCAGAGGTTTTGAAACTATAATCCTTAATGGGGGAGTGAAACACTATCTCATTAGGGTTTTAAGCTTTTAAATTTGCCTGTTTGAAGTCAGGTTTTCCTTTTCCTTTTTAAAAATATTTTGTTATTGATTGTGGGTTTGGGTTCAAGTCCTTTGCCAGGCACATGAACTGTTTGTTTTTTCCAGCCCTGACTGGGCACTTACAGCCATCCTTCTGCCTCAGCCTTCCAGTTACAGATGTGTGGGGACTACAGATACATGCCACCACGTCTGGCTGTGAACTGTGATTTATTGTCTCAGTTGCTTGTCCTTTTTTTTCCTAAGTATCTTTTGATGAGAAAAATTTTGAGGAAATGAAATCCGCTGATCAGTTTTTCTCTGTACATTTAGTCATCTTTCTTCTTTCTTTCTTTCTTCTTTCTTTCTTGTCTCTAAGAAACATTTAGCTGGGCATAGTGGTACACAAATTTAATTCTAGCAGCTAGAGGCAGAGGCAGGTGGCTCTCTGTTTGAGGCCAACCAGAGCTACACTGTGAGACCCTGCCTCAAAACAAAACCAAAACCACGGAAGTATTTGTGTGCTGTGATTTCACTACTTTTGCTGTGAATTCTTTCAAAAGGTGTGTCCTCATTGGGTTTAGATGTATGGCCATTTTGAGTTACTGTGCCCTGACAGACAGTTCCATTTTCCCACACACTTACTTAGTTTCTCATATAGTGGTTTAAATGTCCGCTGTGTGTTGGGAGGCACAACTTTCCATTCTTACTGAATCACTTGCATGCTGTCAGAACTCAGTCCTGTGCAGGTGTTGTTCTGGGTGCTGTGCTTGGTTCTGCTGATCTTTGTTCAAGGCCAGCCCCACACTGACTTGGGGTTATAGAAATTGTCTGAAATCAGGTAAGGAATGTCTTTAGCTGTTTTGTTTTGACTTCCAGCTGTCTCTTCCTTCCCCTCCCCTCTCCCTTCTCTCTGCTTTCTGGTGTATTGAGACTTTTTTGAGGCAGAGTCTCACGTAGCCCAGACTGACACTGAACTCACTTAGCAAACTCAGGGATGACCTTGAATTTCAGAGCTTATTGTCTCCATCTCCTGAATGCTGGGGTTACTGCAGAGTGTCACCTTCAGAGCTGGCTTATGTCATACTGGGGGTCAAACCTAGGGCATTGCACTACATTTGCATTTGGCTTCTAGGTCTTTTTCTTTTTTAAAAAAAAATGTATTTATAGTCTTTGAAAATTTCATTCATGTGTGCAGTGTATTTTTATCTGTTCCACTCCCAGCCGCAGCACCCCTCCCCCTCACCCACAGCTTCTAGGACTTGTAATTTTGCACATTACCATCAGAGTTAAGATATGTACGTTTGCACAGGTTTTTGGATTTTTATTGGGATTTGGTTGGGAGGTGTCTGCTTCCATTCTGGGCTGGTTAGCGGTTTCTTGATATTGACTCTGTCGATTTGTGGTGTGATTTATCTCTGCATCTGTTTGGGTTTCCTTTCATTTTTCTCAGCAGGGTTTTGTAGTTTCTAGCATGAGACTTCACATGTCTTTGATAAAATTGATTTTTAGACACTTTGTTCTTGATGGTATTCTAAATCAGCTTAAAACTTTTGTTAACTTTTAAATTATTGCTGCTGGTGGTAGCCATTGATTTTTGTATGTTGATCTTACGCGGCAGTCTTTGGTGCATTGGTGTACAGGACCCTGCCTCACTCCTCTGTGATTTTACTTTGTACTGTTTGTTACCCATGGTTAGCTAGTGTCCAAAAAATGTTAAATGGGTAATTCCAGAAAAAAAAAAAAAACCACTTTATGACTTTTAAGGCTGTGTCATTCTGTGTAGTATGATGAAATCTTGGTCCATCTGTTTGGCATGTGTCCTGCCCAATGTATCCATCCTGTATATGTCTCCTGCATGCAGTCACTTAGTTATCAGAACAGCTTGTAATTATTACCAGGCTTTGTTCAATCGATTTTTATTTTATTTCATAATGACCCCAAAGCACAAGACTGGTGACGTCAGCAATTCCAACGCGCCTAAGACTAGCCTCAGATGAGCCATAAAGTGCTTCCTTTACGGACTCTCATCCTAGGGCTGGAGAGATGCTCAGCAGTTAAGAGCACTGGTTACTCTTTCAGAGGACCCCGTTTTGATTCTCAACACCCACATGGTGGTTAACCACCATCTGTAAGTCCCGTTCAGGGGATTCAACGCCCTCTTCTGACCTCCACTGGCATTGCATGACATGGGTGCACCTACCTGCATGCAAGCAATGTATTCATACACATAAAATAATAATAATAAATAAAAATGTTTTAAAAAGAATTCTCATCCGACATCATCACAAACATATGACACAGAAAAAGAAATAATCTGAGAGCACAGTCCTATAACTCACATCGTGGTATGATTGTTTATTTTATTACTGTCTCTTCCTGTGTGACATAAATTACCTGTTAGCATAGGTATGCATAGGTCAACAGTCTTTGTATTGAGTCTGCCCCTGCCCCATGGTTTTGGGTAACCCTGTACTCTTGGAATGTGCTCCCGTGGCTGAGAGGGGTCTCCTCAGTAGTTGGCCTTCCCTTGCTGTGAGTTCTGTGCCTGTAGATTTGGTTGACTGTGGATCAGTTATACCTGGAAAACTGCATCTGTTCAGAACATGTATGTACTCCCCCAGTCATTATGTAAGCATTGTGTTAAAACAGCTGTTCATATAGCATTTACAGTGTGTTTGATGTTATAAGCAGTCTAGAGGTATCTGGTGGGTGGGAGGTTGTGCATGGGTCCTGTGCAGATACCTTGCCATTTTCTGGGAAGGATCTGTGAGTCTATGGATTGTGGTATCTCTGGGGTCCTGGAGCTGGCTCCCCCTGGGGGATGGGGAAGGACAGTTGTGTTCGTCCTGGGGGTTCTTTGGCATTCTTTAGGGTTTTCTGTATGAATTCACTCTCTGTGCACAGAGATAATGTGTTTCTTCCCCCGTGCTTTCCGTATGTCTGTGCCGTTGGCACCCACCAGTTCCACGTTCAGTAAACACCACACTGTCCCAGTGGACAGCCTTCCCTTGTCCCTGGTAACAGGGAGCTTCAGAGTTTCGCCAGCCTTCATGTGGGTGTCCCATCTCAGACTGAGAGAACTTCTGCAGTCTGTAGTTGTCTGGTGGTTTTATATGTGTGTGAGGTGGAGTGGGTTAATTTTAGAATGTTAAGCCAGTCTTAAAATGCTAGGC